GACGGGGATCAGGCTGGCTCCCAAGTTGCACCCCTTCAGCAGGGCAGAACTGCAGCAGCAACTGGCTGCTTTGCCTCCCGTTCCTAGCCCGGAGGAGGTGCAGGTTATTGTGGACGGGCTGCCCTGCCAGGCTGCAAGTTCAGCTGGAGATGTAAGTTTTTTTTGTGCTTTTTTTTTGTGTTTTTGTAGTATTATTCTTCCACTGTTAACATTAAAATCTAAGGGGGCCGTTAACGCGTTAGAATTTTTTTGTTTTTCTTCATCTGTACTATCGTCGCTAATTTTGATTTTTTCATCCTTCATTCCACACCAGAAATAATTTTACTACCATTGGAAGCCGTCATCATTTATTTCAACTACTACCTTTTTAATTTTTCTTTTGTGGAACCTCTTTTTGGTTATCAGCATCCTTCGGCTTGGTCCTTCGTCATCCGATTCCTAAAGTCTTCCTTTTTTTTAACGGTTTTGAAAGACTTATAATTTCGAACATTTAATACGTACCAGCAATAGATACCAATCAAATGTTGTCTGTTATTTTGAGCCACTTAACATTAAATTGTCTGACATTATTTTAGTCAGCCTAAACCTCATCCAAGGAAGAACACAAATCTTCCTGGTTTTAAAAACGAAACCGTTTCTACCACACGCGCCGCGCGCGGGGGGCCAGAGCGTGATGTCGCCGCGACCACCTGTTGGAGTGCAACTCCACATTACCTCAGTACCACCAACAATCGACACTATGCTCAAGGCCCCGCCCGCCCCGCCGCCCCTTTGTTGAGTGTACCCAAAACAGAGAGCGAAATGAAGTAGATTTCTAAAATGTTACAGCCACCAAGCTTTCTGGTGGTCAACCGAACTTTCTGCGGTGCACACATTCATGCTACCACACCGACAACATAGTTTCAATCCAGGTACCAGGTGGTCAGTGCCTTGGTCAGAGCGAACACCTCTATGTTCAGTGTTGCGGGTCGGCATACCATTTCATGCTGCAGAGGCCATGACGCAATATGGGCTGACAGCATAGGCTAACTTACAACGCATACATCCCGTACAACTGAAAATGTTTACTTCTTTATCAACAATATATAATTTAGTTTTCATCATCAAGGGTTCGTTTCGCAGTTTACACGAAGTGTTAACGTTTTTTCCTCCCTATAATTGATTTAATGTGTCAATGAAGTTCTTGGATGTACCCGTTAAAGAACGAGATATCTCCTTGGTATTGAAACAGTGTCGTCAAGGAGTTGGTTTCATTCACCTCTATTGCCCTCGCCCAGACCCCGTATAGATGTTTTAGACGGTGATCCGTTCGAATGTTGTTTGTTTTGCCAGACCTCCGACTAATTTTTTAATTTCATGGGTACATGGCTATTCTGATGGGACCGTATTGCTCACTTTGAGTACATCCAATCAACTTCGTCCATCTACTGGAACATCCCGCACAAGCCAATTCATTCATATTTGGAGCGGTATCGGAATGGGAAGAACTGTGGCTACAGTGGAAACTGCGCCCGGGCCCTGCACGTGTAATGCCCGAATTCGCACACGGAGTGCCCCACTTGAGCCTGGCCTGTGCACGGGCTGTGACCGCACGGGCCACGCGTTCGCCCGTCTTCGCCCGGATTATTTTTTACAGGGGTACCTATTGTTTGTATTCGCCACGTTGGTCCTGTCAACGGCGTGTGCATCCTCGACTGAAGCCCAGCGCTTTTCTTAGGACCTTGAGTTGACGCGTCTCTATGATTACTTCTCTTTAGCCATTGGGCGTAATTTTGACATTCTTGAAGTATATGACCTGTCTGATCAAATTATTCGTTATTGCCTCACTTGTGTGTTAATGTGAATGAGTATCACCATGATTGGAGCAGTCATCTTCTCTTCATTTTCTCGTGCACGAAGATTTTACGAATCTTTATAATTGTTACGAGTTTAGGAATGATGAATGTTCTTTTTTGGGTGCGGTTTAAATTGCGGTAAAAGGCCTTTTCTTATTTTTTTTTAGTTCTGCATGAATTTTGAATCATAATTTAATTAAAAATTATACATATGATACGAAAGTCCTATGTATGCTAAGGAATAATACATGTAAGTATTTTTGAATCTTTTGACGGGACCTTTATATTAATAATTTTGTTTTTTTGATTCATACATCTGACTCAAGTAGTGATTCTTCTTCCACCTTCTTTATTTTCTGAAATCATGAATTACCAGTCTTATTACTTTATATTA